CTTATTTCCATTAGATTTATACACCAATTTTTTAACGGCTCAGTTGAACATGATGGACGGAACATGTGGTCCATCTTGGAAGTAGGGTCTTCGGCAGTGTTCACTTAGTCAACATTCGATGTCGCTTGAGCCATGCAGCAGGATTTCATGGCATGGTGGCTCAAGGCATGCATCAGCAGTAATCATCCTGCACACTTTGCCACGTGTTGCTCTTCGAGGCTCTGGGTAGACAGGCGCACATATGCGTCCGGGAACATGTTCAAGAGCATCATCCCCGTCAGCACTTCTAAGAATTTTGCGGGGCTGGAGCAAATGCACATGGGGACCGTGTCCGATTAGATGATTAGACATTAAGGGTCAGCAGATGTGTCTTTTTCGGTGGAATGCCCATTGTTCATGGCCTCAGCGCGCTTTGCAGATCCAATGTTCATCGTTGTCAGGCGTGGTCGAGCAAAGAGTTTTCGCAGCGTGTGAAAGAGGGGTAAACATCACAGGGGTTCTAGAGAGCTTGACACTGTCACAGGTTTCACGAGTTTGTCGGCGACAGGCCCTTTTGTTCATGTTGTTGCATCCCTGATGTAGATTTGCTTCCACATATCCCCATCCTGGTGTCTTGCTTAGTGAGACCTGCTGCCAGTGCATGAGCGTCTCAGGTGGTGACACTGCCGCAAGTGCCAGGAGTCATCTTTGCAAACAGCTACTTGCACAGCATGATGCAGGATGACATACATTGACATACCAGAGTAGACAGCTTGGATGGCTGTATTGTTTCTTCATCAAGATGACAGGAGCTGGCAAGATGTAGATGAGTAGATCCATTTGTCTTGCACGAATTTAAGGTGAGATCCCACACGACAAGTTGGTAGGCCATCAGACAGTGTGCAGCTTCCCTTGCAAGGGTTGTTAATTCCAAGCAGATGGATGTCGGTGATTTTCCCGGCATGTGCGCAGATCGATGGCTGTAGTGGGTTGTCTCAGCTTGAGAGGTATATGCAAGAGGCTTCGCGTCACAGTTTCCACCGTGTAGCAGGTCAAGTTCGGAATTGGGCATCTGCATCTCCTGTCAGGACCTCAGTGCTGTCCCAACTTATTGCTTGTGAGGCTGCGTGTGGCTGCTCTGAAAACAAGGTACTCTCAACGAACAACCACTTTGACTTGTTGCAGGTTCCCAGCTTCGTCGCAAGATGATCAACACACTTGGACATTATAATGCAGTTGTCAGATCTGTTGATAGTACAGTGTTGGACACGATGTCCCGTGCGTATCAACATGCCAGGTTGCAGAAGTTGTCGATGGCCGTGCCCTTCCTCGGGTGCTTTGTGGCATTCTGCGGACGAGGCCCTTGACATGCCTTCTCTCCGCCGTAGACTCCCGATGTACGTGTTACATTGCTAAGCGAGCACCCCTGACAAACAAGAAGACAATTGATCCGCGCACGTGTGCGTGCTTCAGCTGCTCTTCAATATTCTTGTTATTGCTATCTTCGCGATGCGGTCGTTTCACAACCTGCCAAGCTATCTTCATGATAGCTGACGGGGATGGGGACCATGAAAGCCAGCCAGAGGCAGGAACCCGTTACCCCATATAATCCACTATATGACCCCTTTTAAGGAGGTCAGATTATATTAATACTAGTAATATTCAGTCATAGGAATAACAATATCACGAACACAGTAGATACAGATTTATTGTTTCCATTCTGAAAGGCAGAAACGCTTGGGCTTGGCCATGCCTGGGAGCTTGTCCTGCTGCTTGCATATGGAGGTTTCCCAAAATTA